TTAGGGTTAAAGTTTAATTTCAAAATTATTTTAAATTAAGTAACTTTAATTAAATAATAAGTTAAAATGAAAGTAAACCCTAAACCCCGTTCTTGATCGTCGATAATTGCTGAAACCCAGGTTACACTCGAAACCCTGGACACCAAACTACCTAAATCCTAAAGCCCCCTGTACCCCCTGTATTCCTTAAGCAAAGCACACACCAAAACTTGACAGGACCCTTCAATGCACCCGGATGACCCTTGGATGCAACGATCAGGCCAGGCACTGCATCTAAGGGTGTTTTGTGTGCATCCAAGGGTCATTGAGGGGTACTGGTCTGGTGGGATCATCGCCTTTGCTTCTGTCCCAGTGCCAGTCACTCGTCGCGAAGTTTGAAGTTGTCAGCAAGTGCTGCATTCAACTTAAACGTTGCATTCAAGGCTCCAGGCACCAAGGCACCCAGGCTCTCAGGCTCCAAGGCCTAGTAGAGTGTGCATTTTGACCCTACCCACACAGTGTACGCTGCCGTTACGTCACTGTGGGCACCGTTGGCCGGGTGTCGGGCCGCAGGAACTCAGCCTTGAGGCCAACCTGCCAAGGCAGTGGCAGATGACAGCTGGGCCAATGGGCTAATGCGCCAGCTGGGGCAAAATCTGGGCCAGGGATCCTGTTGTCCCGCCAGATTGTTCCTGCAATGAGGGGGAGGCTTTACTGCTGGGATCATCGGCTTTGCTTCTGTCCCAGTGCCAGTCACTCGTCGCGAAGTCTGAAGTTGTGCAAGTGCAGAATTCAAACTTTGCATTCAAGGCTCCAGGCCCCCAGGCCCCCAGGCGCCCAGGCTCTCAGGCTCTCAGGCTCCAAGCCCCTGAGGCTGCATGTCTACCAGCCCTCCGTGCGTCTCCAGGCACTTTGAGGCAGTGGCTGGATGGCTGGGGTTCGGGCTTTCAGAGTGCCACCGATGCCAGCACGTTTTGGTCTCGGGGCGACCAAGCTTCCACAAAGATTGATACAAGTCTTCAAACTCGTCATTGTTGTTCGTCGATGATAGTTGAAACCCAGGTTACACTCGAAACCCTCGTTACCAAACCACCTAAATCCTTAAAGCCCCCCTGTACACCCTGTAAATTCCTTAAGCAAAGCACACACCAAAACTTGACAGGACCCTTCAATGCACCCGGATGACCCTTGGATGCAACGATCAGGCCAGGCACTGCATCTAAGGGTGTTTTGTGTGCATCCAAGGGTCAATTGCTGAAACCCAGGTTACACTCGAAACCCTCGACACCAAGCCACCTTTATCCTAAACCCCACCCTGTACCACCTGTATTCCTTCAGCAAAGCACACACCAAAACTTGAAAGGACCCTTCAATGCACCCGGATGACCCTTGGATGCAACGATCAGGCCAGGCACTGCATCTAAGGGTGTTTTGTGTGCATCCAAGGGTCATTGAGGGGTACTGGTCTGGTGGGATCATCGCCGTTGCTTCTGTCCCAGTGCCAGTCACTCGTCGCGAAGTTTGAAGTTGTCAGCAAGTGCAGCAATTTAAACGTTACCGTTGCATTCAAGGCTCCAGGCACCCAGGCACCCAGGCACCCAGGCTCTCAGGCTCCAAGGCCCAGTAGAGTCGCTGCCGCCATGATTCCAGGCACTTTGAGGCAGTGGCTGGACGGCTGGGGGTCCGGCTTTCAGAGTGCCACCGAGGCCAGCATCGGTGCCACTCATGCCCGTTTTGGTCTCGGGGCGGCCAAACTTCCACAAAGATTGTTGGTGGGAACTGATTGCAGTGGCATTGATGCACCGATCCATGGCCTTAGGGAGCTCGGCATCACGCACCAGCATTTGTTTGGGAGTGAGGTGGCTGCTGGTCCTCGGTCGGTTATCGAGGCTAATACCAAGCCCTCGGTACTGTTCCACAGTGTCCTGGATGCTGACAAGGCACCGTTCGTTCACCTGTACATTGCCGGCTTCAGCTGCAAGCCGTTCAGCCTGCTCCACAATAAGTCAAGGCTCCTCAAGGAAAAACAGGCTCAAATATTCTATGGGGTCGTTGCACGCATCCAACTTGTGCGGCCCTCGTGCTTCGTGCTGGAGAATGTGTCAGGCATCAAGCGTGTTTCTGCAAAGGTTCTGGCGGCACTCAGGTCCACAGGCTATCATGTCGAAATGATTTTGATGAACCCTGCCGAGCTACAGGAGCCCATCCAGAGGCCTAGGTACTACTTCATCGGGGTCCGGCAAGATGTGAGCCTCATCTCGCCAAAGGACATGTCGTGCTGGCTTCGTGAGGCTTGGGCGGAAGTCCAGGATTCAGTTGCTTCCGGAGACGCAGTCGATCTTTTGGACTGCTACCGGCGAGCCACTGTGGCAGTACCAGGAAACCGGCTTCCAACCGTGGGTTCCCAGGCTCCCAGGCTCCAGGCTCCCATGCTCCAAAGTGGAAAGAATTGCACAAGATGTGCAAAGCTTCAATGCAGCAGGGCAGCCGGTTGAAGAGTGAGAGTCGGAGGCCTTGCACTGAGAGCGGAGTCGCCTGCTGCGCAGACACGTTGTTCCTGCATTTGCCGCGTGAGCGTGATGCCTGGGACATCATTTGCACAAAGCATGCAGGCAGTAAGGAGCTTGTCGCGGATGTATCCCAGAATGTGAACCGAGCCCGGGTGCGGACCGATGGCTCCCTGCCTACTGTTACACCTGGGGCCGTACTGGTATCCGCACGAGCTGGAAGGATCATTAGCCCGCTTGAAAAAGTCATGCTGCACGGTTTTCCAATTCACCGTATGGTTTTTCCCAGCAAAGTGACCGACAAGGAGCTCGCCAGCATGGGCGGCAACACGATGCATGTGCAGATTGTGGCCGTGGCAATGAAGTTTGCGCTTGCGTTGGTAAACTGGAGCCTGCCCAAAGCTTCCCGGCCGACAGCCTTGTGCAGCACCGTTGCTGCGCCAAGCATAACTGCTTCAGTTGTGCTCGGCGCAGCAGCGAAATGCCGCAAGCGCCATGGCAAGCCACGGAAGGCTCCCAAGGCGCGAAAGGCTGCATCGGCGCAGAAGCCTCCAAAGGCACCAAAGGCTCCAAAGGCTCAGAAGGCTGAAGGCATGTCAGCTTTGGCAAAGCGTTGGCAGAAAGTCTTGAGACCGCAGGCAGCAAAGAAGTGCTCGAGGAAGGGTGCCACGGCCACATTGGCGTCCCGTCTTGCCCATCGCTGGGCAAAGTAGTAGTCATTAATTCGTCATATTATGACGGAGAATGGCATGCGTTTTCTAATTTGGCCACTCGGAGTTGGCATCATAGACTGACTTAGGTGAGGCCGGGTGCAAAATTCGGGAAAGCCTGCTCCGAGCAGTACAGATTATTTGGACTGGGTCACCCTGCCGACTCCCAGTGAAACAAACCGCCGCAGTGTGCATAGGAGTTCGCAGTGTTGTGCCATTCGGGCTGCTTGACTCGGGGTAATACCCTCACGTCTGCCAGGCAGCTGCTCGCTGTCGGATCGAACGGGAAGCTGGAGGCGCGGTTCTCGGGTTAGTCGGAGTCGGTTGGACCAGTTGCAGAGTCTGATTCAGTTCCAGTCTTAGCACGGTTGCCACGGTTGCGTTTGCTTGTCATCGTAAGTGCTGCGCGGTCGCTTCAGGCTCCCAGGCTCAAGGCTCCAAGGCCCCCAGGATTTCAATGCCAGTGGGTAGCCGCACCCTGCGTGGTCTTGCCGCTCGGTTCGGACTACGCTCCCGGAAGCAGGACCGGACGCCGGCAAAAAAAAGACGAGGTCCACAAGGATCCGTGCCTGCGGCCCCGAAGAAGCTTCGGCTCGAGTCCGGCGAAGGCCTGGCTCAGGAGGGCGACGACGACACCGGAAAGGGATGTGGCGATGTTGGTCTCGCGACTGAGAGCGATGCAGAGCATTTGGCTCGCCATCGTGGTGGCGACGAGAAATGCAGCCGATGCAAGCTGCCCGGTTCAGAAACCCTAATTTTAATTTAAATTATTATTTAATTTATTATTTAATTTTAATATTTACAGAAATTTAAATCATAAATGGTCTTATTATTAATAGGGTTTCTGAACCGGGCAACTAGACATACTACATACATACATACTTACATGCCTGCCATGCATGCATACACATTACATGTCAATCTATTTTTTCATTTTGGTTATTTATCATCTTGCTGTCGTGTTTCTCTCTCTCTCTCTCTCGGTGGCTCTCTCTCTCTCTCTCTCTCTCTCTCCGTCGCTCTCTCTCTCTCTCTCTCTCTGTCTCTCTCTCTCTCTCTCTTTCTCTCGTTCTCTCTCTATCTCTCTCGCTCTCTCTCTCTCACTCTCTCTCTCTCTCTCTCTCTCTCTCTCTCTCTTTCTCGTGCTCTCCGTCTCTCTCTCTCTCTCTTTTTCTCTCTCTCTCTCTCTCTCTCTCTCTCTCTCTCTCTCTCTCTCTCTCTCTCTCTCTCTCTCTCTCTCTCTCTCTCTCTCTCTCTCTCTCTCTCTGTTGGATCGTTATTGTTTGTGGCAGACTTGCTACTTGACTATGTTGCAGTTGCTGGTTGGTTCTTGCTTCCGGCATTCTCGACTTGATCTCGTCCGTTTGCATACAATCCCAACATGTCAGTCAGGTTCCTTCGCTTCCAGGAAGTTTGGAGCAAAGCCGGAAGCCTCACCCACACGTCTTGGGGCAAGCAGCAGCGGACAGTTTGGCTGGGCCAGAGACCAGCTCGCCGAGGAGGCGATTGGGGCATCGGCTGTCACTTTTGTGCACACTTGATGAATGTTTTGGCACAGAACCCAGCAGAGCGGAAGAGGTTGCAGTCCGGCCGAATTGTGCAGTGTAGTGCGAGCGGATAGCCCCTTTGTGATCAAATTAAGGCTGACCGTGACCAGCCCAACTTTCGCAGCCCTAAATGCCTAAGGCTGGGCAGTCGCCTCTCTACCAAGTGGGGTGCCTATGAGGTCCGATCAAGGACCGCATCATGTTGTCGTTGTCAGCTGTGATTTAAGGCATCAGTCGCAGACTTTGGCAGGAGTGCGATGCAGGCATGCTGCATACACGCTCACAGCAAGACCTTCGTTCACCAGGTGGCCACGAAGGTTTACCTAGCTCCTGACACGCCGATCTCACAGTGCTTGCCTTACAGCATCAAGCATCAGCACCTCTTCTCCGGCAACGTTCCTCAGCCGGCAGATTGGCTGCGAGCGTGGCGGGCGTGCCGGACAGCATCTTCTTTCAAAGGTGCCGTGAAATTCTATTCCACGGAAGACTTCGCTGCTGGCAGGAACACGAAGCTTGACAGTGTGAGCCAGGATGCAGCACTTTAAAAGGCCTAAGGTTTCAGATTGTTGACATTTTATTTTGGCACATTTAAATTTAAAATTGGACAAATAATTTAATTAATCATCTGAGGTCTCAAGAACATGATTCTTGTTATGCACTGGGCTGTCAAGAGTGTTCGCAAGCAGCGTCTCGAACAAGCCACCAGCATCAGCTTGTCCGTGGACGACCGCAAGGAGTATCGTTTGGTGAGGTACCGTTGCGATGTTCCACCGCGCACTGCCAAGCAGTCAGCGGCTCCAGGCTCCCAAGGTCCCCAAGGCTCCCAAGGCTCCCAAGGCTCGGAGGATGGCCCGCTTGTCGCCGATGGCTTGCTTGGGGTCTACAAGACAGGTGCCAGTGTTCCTGAAAACACATTGGAGGAGCACGATGCGGACAAGAGTCAGGTGATGGCAGACAGCATAGGCATAGTCATTGACAGGGCCTGTCAGGATCCGGAAGGCAAAACTGACGAGGAGTCCTGCAGCCGCTTGAAGCTGCACGTGCGGCACTTTGCAGCCGATCAGTGCACATCTGCCCGGAAGTGTGGAAGGTTGTTGGTCACTGGCGGCCAGTATCCTAACCTGGTCTGGGTAAGCCATGATCCTGCGCACCAGGTTCGTATTGCCTACCAGGACCCTCTTCACGCCATGCCCGAGTTCCAAGACCAGTGGGAGCGTTTGTTTGCTCCCGGCAAGGGCAAGCATGCGCTTATCCCGGACATCCAGAACTCAGAAGTCTGGAAGGCCAGGCTCATGGCGGCCCAGCAAGAGGTTCTCAGGCTCCATGGCTCCCAGGCTGGTGTGGAGAAGGTGATCCGAGCGTTGTCGTTCTCCCAACCTCGGTTTGACTCGTCGGCCACACCAATGCTGAAGTACTTGTGCATGATTCGTGCGATGGCGGTCTTATGTGCTATGCAGGCTGCTGACGAGTCTTGTCCTTATGTCAAACAAATTTTAAAATTATTAAATTTAATAATTATTATTTATTTTAATTTAATTATTGTGTATTAAATCTTAGTCTTAGTATGGATTGTATTAATGCATGTATGTGCGGATGTATGTATGTACGTAATTATTATTTTAATAATTTAATAATAATAATAATTTAAATAATAAATGACAATGATTAATAACTATTTAATTAATTTTATAATATATTAACTTTTATTCAATAATAACTAAGTATGTAGTCTTAGTATTATGTATATGATATGTAGTATGTATGTATGTATGTATGTATGTATGTATGTATGTATGTATGTGTTAATGCATGGTAATTCACTTTCAATGTGTAGTATCTAAATTGAATTGTATGTATGTATGTATGTATGGCATGTACGTATGTATGTATGTATGTATGTATGTATGTAAGTATTATGTATGAGTATGTATGTATGCATGTATGTATGTAGTATGTATTATGTAAGTAAAGCATGGATGTAAGTATGTAAGCATGTACGTATGTATGTAGGTATGTATGTATGTATGTATGTAGTATGTATGTATGTATGTGTAGCGTTAAGAAATTTAAAGTATGTATGTGTGTATGTATTATGTATGTATGTATGTATGTATGTATGTATGTATGTATGTATGTATGATACGTATGTATGTATGTATGTATGTATGTATTGTATTGGCATTGTATGTATGTATGTATGTATGCATGTAGGTATTATTAGACATATTATTACTAACATAATACAATGTATGTATGTATGTATGTATGTATAGTATGTATGTATGTATGTGTGTATGTATGTATGTATGTATGTATGTATG